GAGTTTTACGATCAAACTATATCATCTGTGGAATCAATTGATGCTCTCCTTACACTACATGATGCCTGCCCACTACGAACTATGGATAAATTCTTGGTTAGAATGACAGAGGAAGACAATGAGGAGAGTGATGTCAGTACTCCTGCTACCACACCCACAAGAAAACACAAATATAAGAAATTATCATTTCAGTCGTCAACACAGAAACATTCACTGGATCACAATGATTCCATAGTAAGTCTGGAGGCTTTGGATATTAAAGAATCCAAGAGTTAACACTTGTGAGAGGAATTCTACTTGCTTTGTCTTRATTTATTCAAGTGGAATTGTGTAAGCCTACCACTACTATCCATTTGTAATGCCATGGCAAACTTTATGTATAGTTTGTGAATAGTTGGGTAACGAGGGTTGGGTTAAATCAACAACTCATTCATAATAACATTAATTTTATTTTTGCATTTCCTATTTTCTTCTTGATAAATCCATAATTATTATTAGCATTTTTACGTAAAAAATAAACTATATGCATGCAAATCTGTCAAAGATTTTGCAGAGAAAATCTGATGTCTTCTTATTTAGCCTCGTTMAACCAAAAATAAACCCACCCCATTTGTGAGGCTTGTCACACGCCCCTTGTAAGCAAAACCGACTTACCCTAACCCCCATGGGAAAATAAACCCTTGGGGCCAGTTCTACGAATCGTGGATAAAGTTCCACTCCATAGATTTTATCGGCTAGACAAGGATTTATACCGTGGACAGCGCTATTAACCCTTCGTACAACAAGCCCTTGTAATATAAATAACACGRTTATCTTAGCCGAAACAAATGTTCGTGTGTAAACAACAGCCCTTCTTGTTGTGCTGTTTTCCTTAGAATCAACGTAGTGCTWCCGCAATCAACTGAACGTCAAGGCTCGTTGATCGGTGAAAAGCAAACTTTGCTGATGAAAAGTCTCAACGTTTTGCGTAACAAACGGCACGCTTTGGCGTTTCGTGATCAACCGCACGTATCGACGTCTTCTGTAACCAATGAAACGCCTTTACCAATAAAAACCTTTACTTTTCGTGCAACAACCGGGACGTTACAACAACGACCAGTAGAATCTTCTAACGTTTCCGTAACAATAAAACGCATGCAATTCAACCTACAGCGCGGTTTCATTCTGCCTTCCAACTACGTCTTTTTCTTCAAGAAAAGAGATCTTTTCCTTCAATGTTTTGACCTGAATAAAAAATGATTATATTTAATGGTGATTACAATAATGATACATACCGCTACTAATTGATGTCATTACACTCAATGTGTACCAATTGCCGCCCAAACCATGAGA